TCGAGAATTGTTATGCAACTGCGCCATGAATGTCTAACCCAGTGATTAGGTGAGCCTATCAGTTCAGCGTTTTGACGTGGGCGGTAGTTTGATAGTTAGCGGGGCATAATTGGGATCGATGTGTGTGTGCAATTCGTTTATATATTCTTAGGGTCAAGCGCTGACTTTTGACAAGCTGTTAGTTACTTAATGCTCTACCCTCGTATTTCTTGCCATATCTGCTTTTAAAAAATGTAATATAGTGGCTTCTACTCTCTCTCTCGCTCTCTTAATTCCCAGCCACTTGGGCTGGACGGTAGAGCGACGGTCTCGCTTCATGCAAGTCGGCGTTCAATCCATGACCATCCAAGTGGTTGGGCACCATTCCTTTCCTTCCGTCCCATCCCAAATCCTTATCCTGACCCCCTTCCCAGTGCTACATAGTCGTAATGGCTTGGTGCTTTCCCCCCTGATAGTTCCCTTCTCTCTATTATTTCCATCTACTCACAACTTTTACATTCAAAGTTATTTTGAACGTTCTTGTGAGTAGCCTGTGCATAAAGTGTCTATACACGTTCAAATGTTCTACCTTGCCTTGTACTGAACATGTTCTTGTCAGCATCTTGAATTCCTTTGAGAATTTGATGTCACCTTGTATTATAAAATCAGTCTTTCTTCGAGTGAGGAGAGGTTCCTACAGCCTTTCTTTATAGCTTAAGTCTGGTAATTCTGAATGCCTCAGGACTTTTTCAAGTTACTTTAGGTGGGATTCCATGCTGTGGCGGCATATTCTAGAACTGACCTTACATATGTCGAATACAAAGGTCTGAAAGCTCATTTTCTAAGAACCTAAATAGTAATATTTCGCTTACCGATGTTACTAGTAGGCATAATAATAATATATTTTATTCTAGATACACCAGAATAAAATATTCTGTTATTCTAGTTACACCAACCTATTGTGGTAGGCAAGGCATAATTTGAACACCAAGGCCATTTCTAGTTTCCTGTATCAGAGTCATTATATTTTATATTAATGAGTCTTCTTAGTCATTCTATAATTTTCATTACATTACATATATCCGAGTTGAGGTTGATTAGCCATTTTTCCGACCACACTTGAAACTTATGCAGATCGGCTTGTGTTATGACTTCAATAATTTTGCATCATCCATAGACAATGATATGAGTGCATTAACTTCCCTTTTATTGTCAGCTATATGCATCAAGTATAATATAGACCCTTGTAATAACCTTTGTAGAGACCTTTGTAGTACAGCACATGTGGCCTCCCTTAAGTCAAAGGTCTCTCCTCCTTTCTGCTTAATCACTATTTCCCCCCCCCTGTCATTAAACTCTAATAGGGTCGTTAAGCAAAACTTGGTCTCTCTGATGCCATGGTACCTTTTTAGAGACCAGTTTTACAGCCTTAAGCAGGTTCACAACTGTTATCTTCTTTAGTGTTCAACCGTGTTATGTTCTTGATTATCTTCTTGAGTTCTTTGCAGAGAATGCATGTAAGGAACACTGGTTTATAGGTTAGAGACTCTTGTCTTGATTTTTTTCTAGCAGAGGATCTGCGTGGGTTGTCCATTGGAATTTCCCATTTGTCTGTTTCGGTGTTAAGGTTTATTGTTAATGCTCTGCTCATCTTCTCGTGGGGGGGGAACTTCTTTTTAGATCTGTAGTGCTGATGCTCTCGTGTCTCATTCAGTGCCTCCTTTCACTTTCTCACTACCTCTCGTGTAACTGAGAGACTAACGAGTCATGGGAGATATGATCACCACGTGCAAAATTTTTTCAGAGGAATTGACAGGGGTAGAGAAAGACAAACTGTTAAGCATGGGTGGAACCCGAACAACGGGACACAAGTGGAAACTGAGTAACCCCACCCAGACACCCACACATAGACACCCACATCCACACACAAACACCTACACACAGACACCCACACCGAGACACCCACACCTAGACACCCACACCTAGACACCCACACCCAGACACCCACACACAGACACCCACACACAGACACCCACACACCCAGACCCAGACACCTACACACAGACATATACTCTTTCTGATCGACGTTAATTTGACGTTAACGACATGACAAAGAAAACTGGCTAACTCGCCTGTCTTTCAGTTAAACGAGGTCCAGTTAAACCTTTCAGTAGCCTTTCGTCGCAACTCAAACCTCTCAAGTAGCTACTTTGACTATAACCACTACTTTTAACTAACTACTTTAACAACAGTATACTACATTGTATGTGGGGGAAATCCTGTACTCAACTCATCTACACATTTGGTCTCCACACCAATCCTTCTTGGTGCTCGCTAGATCAGCTAGACTGTTGGTGTTCGCAGTTCACTATCCCGGTATTCCACAGAGACCGCGAGGATCGATACTATCCAGTGTGATGCCCACCCCTCCTCTGGTGCCTTTAAGCAGGAGAGAAGATGGTGGGGCTACGAGAAGCCACCCACCCGCATGCTGATCTCTGACCTCTCTCTTGGCAACCCTGCGCTGGAAGCGGCCGTCGTAAGGTGGGCCAAAAATCTTAATCTCCCCTGGTGAGAGGAATGCTGAGAGCGTTCTTAATGACTCTCTCAGTCGTCGTTATGACTGCCGCAACCGGGAGATGAACTGGCTCCAAAAGGGGGGGGGGGAGGGGGATGATGGTTACTTGGATTGTTTTATGTCACTTCTCATTCCTTCATGCACGTCCGCTCATTCACATACTCACGCACTATCCTCACACGGCCCACGTACACACACTCGTGCACGCCCTCTCGGGCTTACACACATATACTCGCACTCCAGCACGTCACCTCCTGTACGCGCGCACGCACAAACACATACACACACAGCTAGAGTTCGATCCTGCAGGCACAAATAGGTGAGTACAAATAGGTGAGTACAAATAGGTAAGTACAAATAGGTGAGTACAAATAGGTAAGTACAAATAGGTGAGTACAAATAGGTGAGTACAAATAGGTGAGTACAAATAGGTGAGTACACATATACACTTACACACAATCGCACGCGGCCTCACAATAAATTGTAAACATTTATATAGTATATAAATACCAATAAAATAGATTGTATGTCAATTTGGCCAACGCGGAGAACAGGCACTTGGGACTGCTAGACTCACCCAGTTGACCAACATGAAACATTGTGGCAATATGTAATTATAACCAAACCTAGGTGGGCCCAAGTGTCAGAGTTTAATAAATATCGCCATCTATAACGACCCCCCCCCCCCTTCGATTTTCATCAAAGTCAGGGCTGCTTTTCCGTAGAGTTTTGAGAAATACTCCATCTTTTTACCCGCTCACTTTCACGGTTCACTAAAAAACTAAGAACGTGAACTTATTTGGGTTATGAAATTTATTTATTTTCAGAGAAAATAAAAGAGAGGGAAGAAAGAGGGAGAGTGTGGAGACTGTGACAGGAGTAGAAGAGAGAGAAGGATAGAGGGAGAGGAAAGGGGAGAGGAGTAGGGTAGAAAGAGGGTAAATGGGAAAGGAGGGAAGGGGGGAAAGGAGATAACGTTAGTGAACAATAAATTTGACGTTTATAACTTTTGAAGTTCAAGTAGCGTTCAGGAGGAGACTTTAATACAACATAGATAGGTATCCAAACATTATTTTAGACTACGTTGCAATCACCATTTTCAATAAGCGCGATAATATTTGCCTTATGAGAGAGAGAGAGAGAGAGAGAGAGAGAGAGAGAGAGAGAGAGAGAGAGAGAGAGAGAGAGAGAGAGAGAGAGAGAGAGAGAGAGAGAGAGAGAGAGAGACAGAGAGAGAGAGAGAGAGAGAGAGACAGAGACAGAGACAGAGACAGAGAGAGAGAGAGAGAGAGAGAGAGAGAGAGAGAGAGAGAGAGAGAGAGAGAGAGAGTGAGAGAGAGAGAGAGAGAGAGATATCACCTCCACCCACTGCTGGTGCCAAGTTTGGCACCTCCTTGGCCTCAAGCTTATCACCTTTTGTCTTGACCGCTGGCCGTCAGCTGTGGCACCTCCCGTTTTGACGGTTGCCGCCCAGTGTGACATAGCTTGACCTCAAGCCTGACTCAGACGGGACGAGTCGAGCCCCCTGTCTCACTCACCAACCGGTCCTTACACCTAAACTGCCGCAAAATTAACGCTATCGATCAAATTAAAAGCACCGGCATTGTGACGTATACTCCGCGTAATGAACCTCGTTCTCGACAAGTTAGGGCGGAGCTGCTTGGGTTCTGATTCTTCTGTCTAGGCGAAACCGGTTTCAGTTGTTTTATGGCTAGATCGGGCGGCATTCACAAGACTTCAGTTTCTCCAAAGTTCTAAGATGATTAGCAGGAGAAAGGGCTAATTAAGCCATTACGACTATATAGCACTTGGAAGGGGTCAGGATAAGGATTTGGGATGGGACGAGGGGGGAGGGAATGGTGTCCAACCACTTGGACGGTCGGGGATTGAACGGCGACCTGCATGAAGCCAGACCGTCGCTCAACCGTCCACCCCAAGTGGTTGGAGCCAGAGAACTCCTGTTGACTGGCCACAACTGTCGAGAAATATAACGAACATTTGTAGGAAAATACTGTCTGGGGAGACGGACACTGTCTGGGGAGACGGGCACTGTCTGGGGAGACGGGCACTGTCTGGGGAGACGGACACTATCTGTGGAGACGGGCACTGTCTGTGGAGACGGGCACTGTCTGGGAAGACGGTCACTGTCTGTGGAGACGGGCACTGTCTGGGGAGACGGGCACTGTCTGGGGAGACGGACACTGTCTGTGGAGACGGGCACTGTTTGAGGAGACGGGCACTGTCTTGAGGAGACGGACACTGTCTGGGGAGACGGCTACTGTCTGCCGTCTTTCTTCCCTCTACGCAATACCGTCTTCACTCTTCCGTTCCAAATCTTCCGTGTCCTCTTACTCGTTCTTACAATACTCAAACCCCTTCGTCTTCAAACTTCCCGTCACCTCACGTATACACATTTACTTTAAATACAAAATATAATAATTTGTAATCAATAAAAGTTATAAAATGTTTGTCGGTAAGTTTTTATTGATTGCATTGCTGTATAGGTTGGTGTGGAGGATCGAGACGTCGTCGGAGTGCATGTGTCGTGAGATCCTCATGGAGGAGGACTCAAAGGGGGACTCAAAGGAGGAATCAGAGGAGGAAACTCCCTTGAAAATCGACCTCGACACCATTAAATACGCCTCCAGGCGCTGGCCTAATAAAACCATATACGTCAACTCCTCCTTGGTGATGGAGCCGTTGCAACATTTTGTCTACAAGGCTATGGATTACCTCAACAGCGTCACCTGCATCAACTTCCTCAACACCACTGTTCCGAAATCAGGCCCCGAAATATATATCGCTAGGGATATGGGCTGCGCCTCCTTGGTCGGATTCAGCGGCAAAGATCAGCCATTAACCATGTGGGATACCTGCTACCTAACCAACGGCATCATTATTCACGAAATGCTGCACGCAGCCGGGCTCTACCACCACCACAGCCGGGCGGATAGAGACCAGTACATCTTTGTCAATTTTTCCAACATCATCGACGATTTGGCCCACAACTACAAGAAGAATAAGGGTTACCACGGCCTCCTCGTCACCATGGGCGTCCCATACGACTACCACAGTGTCATGCACTACGGCAAGAACGGCTTCGATAAGGACCCGAATTATCCGAGTATAGTGGTTCTCGGTGATCGCGATGTCGAAATTGGACAGAGACTCTTCGCCACCAGAACGGATATCGCTACGATCAACCGATACTACGAGTGCCGGGATCACTACCTGGGAGATGATATCCCCGGCTCCGTCCCATACGATGAGTGGTTTAGGAAGTACATGGGACTCTTCAAGGCCGCCAAATTCAAATATCTAACGGATGAAGACAAAATTGAATGAGCTTAACATTTCTATTTCTATTTTTTTTTTGATTGAGGACATGTTTGGGACAAAATCCTGTGAGTTTAACATTTTTGTATTTTTTAGATATATTTTTTTTAGATATATTTTAATTTTGTATTAGATTTAGATATATTTTAATTTTGTATTAGATTTAGATATATTTTTATATTTAGATATAGATTGGCATTGAAAGGTGAATGGTAGGAAAGATGCTGAAAGGCAAAGACGGTGGCGTAGAATAGGGAAGGTTGGGAAGTTGGTGAAGTATAGAGAAGATGATAAAGGAGAATAATGGGTAGGGAAGGGTAGGGGAGGTGGTGAGGGGAAAAGAAGATGGGGAAAGAGACAAGAAGATGGAGAAGGATAGGAAAGGTGGTGAAGGGTAGGGAAGCTATTTAAGGGTGGGGAAAGGGGCCAAAGGTTAGAGAAGGTGGTGAAAGAGGGTGATGGTAGGGAAGGTGGTGAAGGAGATGAGAGGGAAGGATGCTGATGCGGAACCCAGCAGTGCCCGACTAGTGATGATGAAGAATATAGTGAAGATTACAGTGATGAGAATGGTCGTGTGTGTAGTGTAGATACATCGTCCCCGGTTTATAGGTGGTGAATATGGATACAGTGTGACGATCCTTGTCAGGAACCCGTAGGTGCGGGACCGAGACGTCCACCTCCCTAGGGTCGTGTGGCCCTCCAGGCTCTGCTTCAGGAGGTCGAGGGGTCGTTCATGCCCTTGATGGGGGTGGTTCTTCTCCGGCCCCGACCACGGCGGTCTCCGAAGTTGGAGGTCCCTGTGCCCTTCTTCACCACCTTCGAGGTCAACCCTGGAACTCACAGTTCCTGCGACGGCGCTGGAACCAATCGTATTGGCGTCTGCCTTTCCATTGGAGACTTTCAGCGCCGTGGAGAGGGGGGGGGGGGAACCTGCTGCATGGGTAACAGCTTCTCCCCCGAATCAACCTACCCTGGCTTTGCGCCCTGGTGAGGCCACTCCAGACCGACAACCAGAGCGCAACTCCAGAGTCTCCTGAGACTGATGGATGCCTACTACTACTACTGATGATGGTTGCGAGTAGTTAAGATGATTACAGTAAAGATGGTTAGTAATGGTCATTGGTAGTGAAAATTGATGTAGTATCGATGATTAATATTGACGAAATGCTGTTATCGACGACACTGAGGTTGTCAGTATAAAAGACATGAATCGGGGAGCATCAAATACCTTTGTAATAGTTATCGAATTTAGAGGCGGGGGGAGGGGGAGGGGGGAGGGGGGACATCAACTAATGCACTTGCGAGAGGGTCGTATAACCAGCTTGAATCCTTTTCTGCATTTACACAGTGACGAATCATCGTGTAGAAGCTTTCTATCTCTCTCTCCATCTCCGTGGATAAGATCATGGAATCTTGACAGAGCTCCATAAAATAATCAGACCCCCCCCCCCATCCCAACTAGACTTAATGCAGAGGAAGTTTTGAAGTTCGTTGCCCCATCACTCCAAGACTTGGGTTGCCTTAGGTTGTGAAGGAAAAACTTCAAGTTAAAAGGCAAAAAACTTCAAATTGTACATGAATCATTCAAATGAGTCTCAATGATTCTCACTTAAAAGCCATCGAGACGGAATAGTACTAACTACTTCTATGGCCAATCACGCTCTGAAGATAGCGATAGGATAGGAAATAGTAGCTATCTATCTCTTACCTCTATAGACACATACATTATTCTAGTTCAGTACCACTGAGTAAATGCACTACAAGTCTTTACCTAGGCCAGCTCATCGCAGATACATTCAGCTTCACCTGAACCAGAATCTCCTAGATGCATGTGAATCATCAGAGGCAACACATTCCAGCCTCCTCCAAACCATACCAGAGCCAGCACATCCCAGCCTTCATAGAATCCAGTCTAGAAATGCTAATATTTCTCCTAATTCCTGTCACTCAATCTCTCTAAACCTTCTACCCTTCCCTAGCCCGCAGGATGTTTTCCCCCTCTTCCTTCCTAGCCCCCCAGCCTGTACCCCTTTCTCTCCCTAGCCCCCAACCTGTACCCCCTTCTCTGCCTAGCCCCTAACCTGTACCCATCACTTCACCTACCCCCACCACACACCCATCTGTCTCTCATTTGACCATCGGCCTCCACCACAACGAATGATATTATCTCTGCCGCCACACATTCATCTGTCCACCCACAACCTGCACCTCCACAAATGTAGGGCACCACAATCACCTCCTGGCCTGCACGGATTAGTATTCTTCCGTCGTACTGGCCCGAGGCACGTCTGTCTTGAGCTGTGTGCGCTGTCAGCTGAGAGGTAGAGTGTCCGCTGTCAGCCGAGAGGTATAATGTGCGGTGTCAGCTGAGAGGTAGAGTGTCCGCTGTCAGCCGAGAGGTATAATGTGCGGTGTCAGCTGAGAGGTAGAGTGTCCGCTGTCAGCCGAGAGGTATAATGTGCGGTGTCAGCTGAGAGGTAGAGTGTCCGCTGTCAGCCGAGAGGTATAATGTGCGGTGTCAGCTGAGAGGTAGAGTGTCCGCTGTCAGCCGAGAGGTATAATGTGCGGTGTCAGCTGAGAGGTAGAGTGTCCGCTGTCAGCCGAGAGGTATAATGTGCGGTGTCAGCTGAGAGGTAGAGTGTCCGCTGTCAGCCGAGAGGTATAATGTGCGGTGTCAGCTAAGAAGTGTAATATAGAGGGAGAGGCATGGTTTAAGGCGTCAGCAGAGGAGACACACTACAGCTGACGCTGGCCGTCAGCTGCCTACTGTTTTTTTTGTGCTTTGTTATTAAAGAAGTCACGGAATGTCTTTTTTGTTGACCAGACCACACACTAGAAGGTGAAGGGACGACGACGTTTCGGTCCGTCGTCCCTTCAACTTCTAGTGTGTGGTCTGGTCAACATACTTCAGCCACGTTATTGTGACTCATCGCCTGCACACGGAATGTCTGTCCAGCTAGTTCAATACCTGGTTCTTGGGACAATGCCATCATTACTGGTTAAATAAACTCGTCTTAGAAAACATCTAGGGAGACTATAGGAGCAAGGAAGCAGCCTGGGCGGCACCCTAGGCTCCATCAAATGCGAAATAGGGTTTTCCAAATAAAACAACATGAATAGAATTAAAACTTTCCTGCATGGAGTTCAGACAATTAGTTCCGAAGACAGCACCCTCCGCGGGGGCTCCTCTCGGGTTGAATACCATTGACGAGGACCTAGAAAAGAAACTCACTGACTACAATAACATGGAAGAGAAGATGAGCTAATGGATTTTACCTTCTTAATGGGTGCTACGCTTCCTTCCTGGTCCTCGACCAGGCCTCCTTTTCGTTACACATACCCAGGAAGCAGCCCGTAGCAGCTGTCTAACTCCCAGGTACCTATTTACTTCTAGGTAACAGGGGGCATCAGGGGTAAAAAAAACTCGGCTTATTTGTTTCCGACTCAACCGGGGATCGAACCCGGAACCTTAGGACTACGAATTCGAAGCGCTGTCCACTCAGCTGTTAGGCCCTTACGAATGGCCTCATCCATCTTTATTTTTCAGCGCCTGAATGTGGTGATGATCCCAAGACATCCAGTGTGTGTCCTCACTTCCTCCAAAACATCAGAGGAGCTCGACTAAGAAATGGACAGTTTAAAGTTTGTTGTTTTCTTTTAGTGTTTACGTCTTATAACTATTAAAATGTTTACAATAACTGATACAATATATATATATATATATATATATATATATATATATATATATATATATATATATATATATATATATATATATATATATATATATGTGTGTGTGTGTGTGTGTGTGTGTGTGTGTGTGTGTGTAAATCACGAAAATAAACACGTGATTAAAAATGTGACAATGTCAGACCACGGAGGAAAATTTAAACAGGAATTTCCTTAAGTACTTTCGTATATTAGTACATCTTCAGAAGGAGATGTATTCACTCCTTCTGAAGATGTATTAATATACGAAAGTACTTAAGGAAATTCTCGTTTCATATATATATATATATATATATATATATATATATATATATATATATATATATATATATATATATATATATATATATGTTCATGTGGTTACGAAGACGTAATAGTTCAAGATCAACGAGAGCCACTCCGACGCTCCTGCACCTGAGTACAGCTTTCACCTGCATTCCAGGACCCCTCGACGCCCCACGGGGTACTGGCAGGGTGGTCGCCGAGGGGGAGGTCGTCCACGTCCAAGACTCTTATCTCCTCTGGCAGATGACACGACCTCTCTGCTTCTCCTCCTTCCACTCGGGGCCATTCGCCCTGCCTTTATCTAATCTTGTGATCTGCTTACCAGTGAGGATTCGATGTAAGCAACTGCCTATCGGCTGAGGTTGAAACCACAGGGAAGCGCCCCAGTTGATGGTAAAGTGTAGTTAATGTGTCATAAAGATCATATTAACGTGGGTAATGTTTCGTAACTTTATGACAGTTTAGCGAGTGGTTAAAAGCGTGTTTTGGTGTATTTGTTGTCTGAATTTGGGTCAGGTCATGTCGTATGAGTCTTGTCCTTGTGGCCTGGGAAGGTGTGATATAAGCCTCTTGCATTGACGATATAAAACAATTCTGTGCTGCTGTAATATATGAGTGACAACATACGTAAGTATTAATGTATCACCTCTGGTGCTGAATGACCACGACTGGAGAATGCGAGGAGGAATATTAAGGACAAACATTAACATGAAAATAAATTAGGATAGAAACCCTCACCTGTGTGTTTGTGAAATTAATGTAAATAATTTACACTAAGTCTTTCGCACTCTCCTGAGTGCGTTGTCAAGGTCTGAGTGTGTGATTAGGACGAGACTTACATCTCAACGTCTAACGAGCCTGCTATCCTGTAGTTGTTTATTGTTTAAGATTCGCAACTTGGAACAAAAAGTTTCAAGTAGTACTGGCTATGGTGAGCCCGTTGTGGACTTGCCTGGGACAGAAGCGGGGCTGTAACTTGCCTGCTATCCTGGGGCCCAGTCCTCTTATCCTTCTTGACCGCCT